CCTGGAAGGTTGTGGCTTTTCTCTGAAATTCAGTTACTTCGGGGCCTCCCGAGGTGCCCTGGCCTTAAACTTAAGGGGACAGAACCGCGCTGGGCCGCCCTCGGGCTCCCCCACCCGCGCCTTGGGTGTGGATCCCTGCTGGGGTGCCAATCAGCTTCCCCCCACTGCCAGTGCTGGTCTTGCTTGCAAGTGGGGGTGGCTTCTGCTCCCCAACTGGCCAGCTTGGGGTGGGAAGCTGACCCTGGCAGGGGGGAGTGTGGGAGAGAAAGGTTTGAGCAGGGGACCTAGTCAGGACTTCGGGGTTCCTAAGCAGGCAGTGAGGGCGCCTTCCCCCTCCCTTTGGACTTAAAGGAAGAAACCAGTGAGTGTCTTGAACCTCCTGGTTCCCTTTCTAGCTTCAGGAAATCAGCAGGACAGCCCCAGGACATGGGTATCTTTCCCATGATTTGGACCTCCACACCCTCCCCAATACCTCCAGTCTGGGGGTAAGTCACAGTCAACGCCTGGGGGGTAGTGCTGGCCCCTAACTAATTCTTCCTTGCCTGGGGGGGCTGTTCCTCTGGGAGCCCTTTGTACAATCTGTCAGATCCACCTTCCACTCCAGTCTTCAGCCTTTCCTGAGTGACTCCTCTGTACACTCTCCCAGGTGTAGGACCTGGGGAGAATTTGAGGAAGACTCAAAGGTACTGCAGTGTCACCCACCTCATCTCTGGCCTGCACTACAGCTCTTGTATATATAAATAAATAAATCTTTAAAAACAAAAGAAAAAAAAGAAGCTCCAAAGCTCCCAGGGCCAGTCTTTTATGAAATCAGGCATCCTCTGTGAAGCAAAGCCTTCCAGGGAGGGAGGGTGGTGGAACCTGGCTTCCTAGGAGGGAGGTGCTGGAGCTGCAGTGATGTGGGAAGAGATCCCAGGAGGAGGAAGCCAGGCAAGGAAGCCAGGGAGCAAGAGTTTACAGGTGAACGTGGGCAATGAATGGTCCCTCCTCCGTGTCCCCCAGGGACACTGGACACACACTCCAGGTGTGCCGAGGGCAGTTTCTGAGGGCGCCCTTTCTGAGAGAGAAAGGATAATAGTGTGTAAGAATTCACAGAATTGGGCCTCCCCGGTGGCGGTGGCGCAGCAGTTGAGCACTGGGTTGCGAAGCTGCCCGCAGCCTCTGTAGCGCCGGTTCGATCCCCGGCTGCTCCCCGGCCACTGGAGGAGGATCCTACATGGCGCGCAGACCTCTCCTGCCACCCGCTGCTCCCCTCAGCAGTGTTACGTCGGTCCTTCTACCTGTTCTGCTCCCCGCTCTGGCTCTGGTGAATTCTCTCACCCTCTGGCGCTTCTGACTGTACCCAGTGCATGTATAAATAAATAAATAAATCTTTAAAAAAAAAAAAAATTCACAGAATTATCGTGAACATCAGTTGCTCAACAAATACTGAGTCAGCTGTGTGGGGGGCACTGTACAAGGCCTGAGCACACAGCAGGGGACAACAATCCCTGCTCAGGTGCTGGGGGTGGGGGAGAGAGCAAAAAAGAGCAAATAGAGAAATGTGGGGTGATGGCACAGACACAGTTACTAATACAGAGATTAGGAAAGCAGAGAGGAGGGGGAGCCGTTAATATTTCTTTTTAAATTTTCAAAACTTTGGAACATTCAAAAGATTTAGAACAGTAAAAATAGTGCAGTGGCCACTACACAACTTATTCGTCAACATCACCACAATGGTTGACTGCTCCTTTATAGATACGAGCCCACACTGAGACGCATGCACTTAAATGGGTTATTTCTTGCAAAACCTTTTGAGAGATGCAAACCTCAGGACGACCTGCCCCTGAATGATCCGGCTTGTCTTCTAAGACACTGCATCTCAGTGAGCCCCAGAGCCTGGTCAGCAAACACAGCCTTGTCCTGGGCTGCTTTCTGGCAGAGTCAGATCTGGGTCAGCACTTCATCTGGTGGTGGAACCTCTTTCGGCCCCTTGCATCTGCGAGTTTGCCCTTTACTTTATGGCTGCTGTTCTTGAGGGTTCCGACCAGTTAGTTTACAGAATATGCCTTGATTTGGACTGTCTACCTTTTGGTGGTGATTGGGTTCTGCTGAAAATGTGGTTGTCGGGCAGGATTCATTTTGTAGGTGTGTCCTGGTCAGCTCCACTTACCACACAGGAAGCAAACTCTGTCCATTGGTCCCACTGTGGAGGTGTGAATTTCTATGGCTTGGTCAACGTGAGGGCCAACAGATTTCTCCCTTTACAGGCACCTTTACCGCATTGCAAATAAGTAATTGACTAAGATTGTGGGGATCTCTTGTTCCCTGACAATCTTTCCTCTAATCTTTTAGCATCCAGTGATGACTTCAGCCCTAAGCCCATTATCACTAAAACATTATTAGATGGCAGCAATTTTCTAGCTGTTTTTAAATATATTGATATTCCTTAGCAATGAAAAGTTTTTGCAATTTTTTTCTAAAGATTTATTTATTTATGTCTGCAAGAGCTGGGTTGTAGGCCAGAGGTGGGGGCAGGGCTGAGAGGATTCAGCAAAGACAGAGCAGGGAACAGAACAAGTGGATCTACTGAAATGCTCTGCTGAGGGGAGCAGCGGGGCGACTGGAGAGGTCTGCTGGGCCATGTGGGTAGCTCCCTGGCCTGGGATAGAACTCATGCCACAGTGGCTGCCAATAGCTTCATGGTGTTGAGGCGCTTCCCCTTGAGCCACCAGGGAGACTCCCATTCTAGCCCTTTGGATAGACTTTTGTTTCCTCAGTCCCAGGCTGTTTATTTTATCAGGGGCTGCCTTGGAAGGTGCTTCCTCCCTCTGTGTGACTGTCTCTTCTTCCCCTACCATTGCTGGCCAGGCTAACTCCTCTCTCCTTCAGTGATTTGTCGCCCTGGATCAGTTTCAGCCTGACTTCCCTGAAAGCCCTTGGGTTGGAGGCTCCCAGGCCTGCTCTGAGTCCTCTCCCTCACCTGGGGTCCCCGGGGCTCAGGACGATGCCTGGCTTCATTCCCAGTGTCGTCCCCAGCCCCTGACATATCCAGGGCTCCATAAGCTGGATCATTCCTTAGATTTCCGGGCCTGAGTTCCCTAGTAAAGAGTCAACTACATGGTCACGGGTGTCCTGCTTGTGGCTGGCAGATTTCACTTTAGCACAGCACAAGATAACGGATGCGTAATGTAACTTGTTTCTCCCTGAAAGGGCATCTTGGAAGGTGCTTTTCTGTTTTCACTAAAATCATGTGCTGCTTCCCAACCAATTTTTACCCCTCCTAGATCTCATTATCTGTGATGCCCAGCCGAAAAATGTGGTTCTATCTGGAGGCATGAATCAGAATGTAACTTTCAAAATAGGGGAACCTGTAGCCTCTAAAGATATCCTGTGGAAAAAGGAAAGAATAAAGTCATTGAATGGGAGGAGAACCTTACCAGGAGCCCACATCTTTACCGCCCTTTATAAACAGGACTCATTTAGACACCAAGTCCGAGGGCCTCACCATCCTCAATGTAACATTGCAGACTAAGATGAGTACAAAGTGGAATACGGCAGTACTAAGGGCAGCACCAAGTTTACTCTTAAAGTGTTTTGAATAAAGTGATTTGCTTAAAATGACGCATTCCCAACTATTCGAAGAGACTGTTACAAAAAACAGGTCACGAGGCGAGAACTGGCTGTCACATGGGTCAGGCTTGTGTCTTCTTTCTGGCCTGCGAGAGCCACTGAAGCCTTTTGTCACTTTCTGGGTGAGAAAAGAAAGTGACCAAGGCGGGAGGAACTGCACCTGGGGCAGAGCGACAGCAGCAGTGTCACTTGTCTTGCTGGGAATGTTCTGGAAAGAGCGGGAGTAGCAGCAGGAAACTCAGAGCTGAGCTCCCTGGACAGGAGGTGCTGTGGAGTCCCTGCTGGCCCCTACTCCGCCGTCAGGCTGCACTGCCGCTAGATCGCCTGGCGCTGGGCTTCACCCTTCCCGTCAGGAACGCGGCATCATTTAATAGTATTGAGACAAAAGTCCTTTCTAGTTTCCTGGTTCCTCGGTCCTTGCTCCCCCATCCCGCAGTGGTCTTGTCCCCCAATCTACCTGGCCTCTCCCCACGGACAGAACCTCGAACTTCACCAGTAATTGTTTCCCCATTGTCCGAGGATCAGGGGGCCCACTCCTCTGTGGGACACCAGCCTCTTCCACTGGGCCAACTCTGAAGTTCCTGCCTCCCCAGAGTCCTCCCACCCCCTTGCGCCCCCCAGTGGGGTGCTCCCTCCTGGGCTCAGGCTGGTGCACAGGCACAGCTTACCTGCCGGGTTCTCCATCTCTTAGACGCACCTGACTCCATCTCCACCTGGCTGAGTCCGGCGCTCCCCTGTTCTGTGCTCACCACCTGAGGTCTCCGCAAAGCACTTCACCCCCAGGATCCCCACACTTTAAATTCCAGGTCACCCACTTAATCTATCAGGCCTAGTGTCCTCGCTCTCCCAGAGTCTTTATCTCCTCAGACCCTGAGCCCCTGGTCTCCACCTCCTAATGCAGCTGCAGCTTTGCTGCCCCTGCGGCGCTAAAGACAGTCCTGAGGACATCCCTGCACATGCCTCCCCGTGCAGGGAGCCTTGGGGACTGTTTTCCCCCCTTCCCCTCCGGCGCCCCCCTTCTGACCTGCTCACTCCTACCCTGGGCCCGACCCTCCCCGCCCCTGTCCTTGCCTCTGCTGTGCTGGGGACGTGACGCGGGTCAGTCTGTCCAGCTCTGCTTGTGATTCCCAGGAGCGGGGCTCGTCCCCCAGAACACAAGCAGGGGGTACTGGGGGCCTCTCACGCCCCCCCTTCCTCAGCTACTCCTCACATTCCGTCTTCGTGCACAGAGCATCTTCGTGGCGCGTCTGTTCTGCTCCTTGAGCTCCTGCTCTCCCGTGGGCTGTTACCCCTCCACACGGGCACCCCCCACTGCGGTGCCAGTTCCCTGGTGCCCCTGTCAGGTCTTCAGTGACGGACACTCCTCCCGTCTCTGTCCCTAGTCCCAGGTGTGGCCCTGCAAGTGATCCTGGTGGTCCCCAACGCCACGGTGCCCGAGAAGGCCGCCTTCCAGCTGGACTGCAGCATCATGTCTCGCTCGAGCCAGGACTCCCGCTTCGCTGTGGCCTGTTTTTCCTTGAGGACGAATGTCATTGGGAAAAAGGGCAGCCCTGGCCTGGCAGGACAGGAGGAGCAGGAGGAGGATCAGGAGGAAGAGCAGGGGGAGGACCCCACGGAGCGGACGTCGCTGCTGCGTGTGGGCCCTGATGGGGTCTTCGGCCCAGAGGGAGGCCCCTGGGAGGGCAGACTCCGCTTCCAGAGGCCCTCGCTGCTGCTCTTCCGGCTCACGGTGCTGCAGGCCAGCCCGCAGGACACGGGCAACTACTCCTGCCGCGTGGAGGAGTGGCTGCCCAGCCCTCAGGGAGGTTGGTACCTGCTGGAGGAGGAGGAGTCGGCCCCCATCAGCATCCGCGTCCTGGACACTGGTGAGTTTCCCCAGCTGGCAGGGGAGGGTCGCACTGGTGACAGCTGTGTCTCAGGACAGGTCAGGGCGCGTTGGCAGGTTAACAAGCACTTTCCTCGCCTGTCCCGGGCACTGAGGACTTGACACACCGTTCATGTCACTGACCCTGATGGCCCAGGCCAACTCGGGAGTGTGAACGGCAGTGATAACACAGTCATCGTCAATCTGTGCAACAATCCTGATGCCACACCGAGTCTGTTGTAGTGTTTCCTCTGTTGTTCCCCAGCCTGTGGTAGAGTTCATCACACAAACACATGGTCAGGGGTTACTGTGTTACACTTCAGAATATTCAGTCTAATCTCTCTTTAGCCAATTAGCAAGTGCTTCAGACTCATAAGGAGAGAAAATGAAGCCCTAACGCCTCACTGTCTCTTTCTGTTTTCCTGGGTCATTTTTATTTTGGAGGGTGACATGGATGTAGGTGGATTTTCATGGTCACCTGGAAGGACCAACCTAGAAAGGGCAGACCCCTGACAGGCGTCAGAGAACAGTTGAGCTTGCCATCGATGTTGCCACAGAATGTTCCAGAACTCTAAGTTTAGATTCTATAAAAGACACGGAGGAAATTCTTGCTGATCTTGAATCATCTGTTTTAACGAGGCACTCTTGATTGGCTTCTCTCAAAATGTGGACTCTCTCAGACTGAAAATGGTGTCAGTTATTAGCACAATTAGCCTATAATGCAGAAGCAAAAATGTCACTAGGAATTTCTACTTGTTTTCACTCAAAATAATTTACCAGATAATTTTTTTTTGAGATTTTGTATTTCATATGCTTTTCTTTTCTTTCATCACCTCGTTTACAATGCTTCAGATTGACACCTATGACGCTGAGATTTTACAGGTCAAAGTAGTTGACTGTCAACAATTTCACATGCTTTAGAGATCTAATAGGTGTAAGTGTGTGTTGAATGTTCTTGAGCATGCTGATAAGCAGCAGCTGTGCACTAGAAAGGAAGGCAGGAAAAGACCTGTATTGTGCTCAGACTCCCAATACACTCCTGAAAAAGCTCTAGTGCAAAAGCACAGGGAGCGTGTGGAGACCACGCTCTCTGCCCACTGTGGCGACCCCTGTGTATGGCGTTTCAAGGAACAGAGACTATCCAGCAGCCTCAGAGACCAGGCTCCTGCTGAGTTCTTCCAAGTGCAAGGGCCGACCTGGACGAGGGCGGGGGACCTGGCTCCATTGCCCTCCACGTCCAGGGCGAGGAGGCTGTGTCTTCTGCAGCCACAGACACCCCGTGGACATCTGGTGCCCCACAGTGATATTTTCGTTGATCATGTTAATTAAAGAAGCATTATTTCTGGGAAAACTACTCTCAGGAGCTGTCAGGGAGGGAACATTTATATTGCCAAAGAAGGACTCTGGAGCAGAACTGAGTGCAAAGGGAAAGTGTAAAATACAACTGTCAGGAGAATGAGAGAAACTGGGGTCAGCTTCTTGCCTTCCTCATAGTGTTGAGCTCATGAACCATCAGTGTCATGTGGCTTTCTAAGCAGGGACTCAGGTTCCCACCAGGGCTTGGGAGCATTGCTTTATTTGCACTGAACTGGAGGAGGTGCTGTTATGCAAAAAGGATGCCAATGGTTGCAGGGGACAGAAAGGCAGGGTTGGGGGCAGGGGGTCCACCAAGTAGTTTCCCTTGGGCTGGGCCAGGTCCTTGTGAACAAAGCACAGGTTCTCAGCCTCTTGACTTTTCTCCCTCTGGCCCCTTTCAGGCTCCACCCTGCCGTCCAGCATTCGCTCCAAAGATGCGCTCTTCTACTTCATCCTCTTCTACCCCTTCCCCATCTTCTGCATCCTCATCATAATGATCCTGCAGTTGCGCTTCAAGAGCCAGAGCTCCAAGGCCTACAGGTTGGACCCGGTTGAGCACAGTGCTGTGGAGCTGTCTGCAGCCTCTGCAGCGCGGGTTCGATTCCCAGCCATCCAGGGAGATTCCTGCATGGCAGAGCAGACCTCCCCTCTCTCGCCCACTGCTCCCCTCACCAGTGTTTTCAGTCCGTCTCCCTGTTCTGCTCCCCACTAGTCTCTGGTGAATCCTCTCACGCTCCCGTGCCTCTGGCCTCTACCCCAGCTCTTGTATAAATAAAAATAAACCTTTTTTAAAAAATGAAAACGAGCCGGAACTCCAAAGAGAAGATGGGGTGCCCCTGTTTTGGCTCAAAGAGCCACACCTCACCTACTCCCTGATGTGTCTGGAGCCAGCCTCACCCTCCATGGAGATGTTTATGCCCTGGAGTTCCCATGTTTCGTGGCGAAGAGTGTCATCTCCCTTCCTCTGTGAACTTACATCTTGAATCCCGGGGGATGCCAATTTGCAATAAGCCACCAGGAATTCTGGAACTTAATGGATGGAGTGATCGTTGCAACATCTTGTTCTGATACTGAACGGACAGGGAGAGCAGTGGGATTCTGGAGGCCAAGTTGATGCTGCTGGTCCTTATCGGGCTCTGCAGGTGGCTGGGTGCACAGCAGCTGCTAAGCCCATTTCTGGCAGGTGGTGTAAACCTGCTTTTCCTCCCAGGTAGCCCAGGGTGCTCTTTGGAGACACCCTGGTCCCACCGCTCTCCCCATGCTCATCCCTATTTATTACGCTGCATCGACACTTCTGAGGTGCAGAATCGACTCAGTGGCGAGGAAGGAAGGCATGCTTCACCCCATTTGGTGGTGGAAATTGCCTACCCCTAACTTAGAAACTGAGTCAGGGAGGGCGATGTCTGACTGTTTTCTGATTGGAAAGATGCAGAGGGCTGCCTGGGACGGGTGTGCAACTAAGATTTGGGTCTGAATGGGTTCACAGCTGTAGAATAGCAGGTGCTGCAGGTAATTCAATATGTGAAGCAGTTGCAGGAAATGTGAAAGACAAGAAGAAACCGGAGCCAATATTTTAATAATTTTTTCCCTCTGTATTTTCTATTGACCTGGGGGAGACCTTCCAGAGGTGAGCCTCTCCAAGCTTTCCAGGAAAATCCCCAGGACCTGCTTGCTCTCCCATGTCTTGGGAACTGGGGTGTCCGAGGACAGGATATGGCGCCCTCCAGTGGCCGTGGGTCCTCATTGCACGTTGCCCGCCGGAGCTTCTGTGGTCTGGACCAAGAGGAAATCTGCAGCCACTGTCTTGACTTGGGCACATCTCTGAGGCTGCATTGATGAAACACCACACTGTGCGAGGCCCGTTCCAGGACACGGAGAGGACCGCACCCTCTCTCACCTGGGGTTTCTGTAGCAAAATTTCCTATTCTTTTCAAGCAATGGTTTCTCTGCGTTGATGGTTGAAGGAAAAAGAAGGTGGGTCAGAAAGCTACCCCTGCATGATGTAGAGAGCTGTTGGTTTGCTTTTGTTTGCTTTTTTTTTTAAGGAAAACTCTTTGTAAGATGTTGCACTAAATGCTTTATGTACTTTTCAGAGACCTGTAGTAAATTATGTTGAAAATATGGCTGTTGGCATTACCTGGCGGCCGCTGTCCCTCCTCCCCCAGCCTGAGTGGTGCCTTCGTACACATGACACAACACACTCCTTCCTCGACACCACAGCCAGCTGCTGAAGGGCGTCATAAAGAGTCAGGCCTGCGCTGATGAGCAGGTGCAGAGGGAAGCACTTACCAACTCTAACTTCCTTTTTTCTGGGGTTTAGGGTGTGGGCTAGGCGGGAAGGAGGGGGGAGAGAAGGTGGTGGAGAAGGGGAGCAGGATCATGTCAACAGCAACCTTCTTGGCCACCAACGGCCTCTGCAGCAAGACCACAGCATGATCTGCAAGGTGGGTGGCCTTGCCCTAGCCCTGAAGGCTCAGCAAGCACTTTCAGGATGGAGGAAAGAGCAAGGCCTGGCGCCTGTTCCGTGCACAGCAGCCCAGACCCTGGTCCCCGCACAGCTCAAATCTGGGGTGTTTGGGAGTTCATCCCATCTGCAAGATGAGAAGAATGACAGGATGATTAAAGCACAGCAGTGATGCGTGATCGGTGAGGGCCCATCTGTATTTCTTTGATCCACAGGCCACTACACAAGAGGCACTAGATACAGAGTGAGAGGCTCAGGGAAGTGCTTCCTTTTTCTTCTCTTTAAAACCTCAGCCTTTTCGGGACACAAGATGTGTGACCTCTGCACCCCACCCCACTTGGTGCCTGCTTATCAGCTTCTGGCAGCTGTTGGCTTGGCCAAGAGTTGAGGTGGCACTGTCTCTCCCTTGGGTACCCAGCATGGTCCGTGTCAGTTTTATGTATTAATTTTGCCTGTTTTTCCTCAAACACGCTCTCTGCCAGGAATCATTTTTTTAAAGGGATCTAGGGAACCAGAGTATGATGAAATAAGCTTGTGCCTCTACCTCCCCAGTGCAGAGCTGCCCAGTGTTTACATAGACGCATGAAAGTCCCCTCCCACGCTGGGCAGGAGTAGAGGAAATACCGTGTCCACTACGTGCTGGGCCCTGAGTCTCCTGGGCTTTGGCAAGGACCAGAACCAGAGGGATGTGCTAGGAAGAGCAGCAGCCTCGCGCCAGGAGAGCAGCTGAAAAAGCCGCCTCTCTTACCTAGTGGTGACATCTGCAAGGACAAGCAGATGAAACCTGGTCGTTCAACACCAGTTGCAGAATGAAAAATACCGTGAGCCCTTTAGGTGGCAGGTGCTCAGAGCATGAACAGTCCAGGCCATGAGCCACTGTGATGCTTGGAGTCTGCCAGGCCAGGCACATTGGGGCTCTTATAAATGCATTTCTCATACTGAAGGAGCTGGCACTATTGCTTGGTCAGATGTGCGTCCACCAAGGAAGACGAATGAGTCTTTCCACATCCAATGTCCAGACACAATGACCTTGGGGGTACTTCCACCCCAGGAAAGTGGGCATTGCTCCCCTCAGCCCTGCTTTTAGGGGTTGACCCTTGCTGCTAGTCCCAAAGTTGTGTCCTCCCAGGTGAAAGGTAAGTGTGATGCATTGAACTTGGCTTGAGTTGGCCTCTCAGCTC